GACGCTGCACCGGTCCGTCGTGGTGAAGAGGGAGCTGTAGGATCTTTTGAGCCAGAAGAGTGATCAAAAGGACTTCCTTCTGGCACCAATGATTATTATTTTGATTCATTAATGGATCTTTAAAATGATTCACTCTGTGATGAGAAAAGTCATTGGGAAAGTGAAGGATGTGTTTATGTAGTTGCTTTTCTTTTTGGAGAGAGTTTTCTTTCATGTTCCACTCAATGAGCCTTTGGACCCCCAGATCTGGTGAGGGATGGCACAGGGGCTGAATTTTGCTCCAGCTCTCTCATTTTGCATCCCCTCGACCACACTTTTTACATGTGCCAGAAATTTCTTCCAACATCTCTGGTTTATTAATTTCTCTAGCAAATAGGGTGTGTATGGTACACGTGCAGATCTATTCTATCTGGTTGTTTCTCAGCTTCCATTGTTTCTCTGATTTCATTTTCCAGTTGGTCAGCTCTGCCTGCTATTTGGTCAGCATTCATTTTTTCGCTCCTTGTGTACTCCATCCAGTCCTTCAATGCCGACAGCTCTTCAGCCACTCTGCTGTCACAAGATGCTTCTGTGCTCTTAACCAGGCTTTCCTCTCCTGTGACCAAGGAGCCAAACTTCCTGGAACATTTAGAATTATGGGGTCATTCACCTTTCTGACTATCAGACACTGTGTTAGTGTAGGAAAAGCTGTTCACATGCTGCTATTTACTTCTTCATTCCAAAAACCTCTGGAATTCCCAAAAATGGATTTAACTCTAGGGCTGCTGTGAGTGTGGCTGATTACACAATCTGCTCGATTACTGCAGCTTGGCTTTGGCAAACACGTCTGCAGTGATGTGTTTACCAAAGCATCATCTTGATACTTCAATACTAAACCCAAAAATGTTCTCATTCCTTGAGTTTCTGTTTGTTTTGAGTTTATATTCAGGCAATGATTTCATCTTTACTGCTACTTCCCTTTTTTCTTTATAGATATCCCATTATTGTTTAATATGAGTTTACATAGTACAGTATTTAGCCTGTCTATTTTTTATTGCATTTATACCATATCCTGTTTAATTTGCCTTATTTATTTATTTATTTATTTATTTATTTATTTATTTATTCTGGTCGTTTATTCATAACTTTGTTATCAGTTTTGTCCTGATTACATTGTATCACCAATATATTATTCACCACTGCCCGTAGATTATAGATTGTTAATTTCAGCAATCACAGTCAGTGCTCCTATATAAACATTACTATCCCTAACAATGTCCACATTCAAGCATGCTCGGTCACATCTAATTTCTTGTTTTGCTTATACATGCGTGGTCTTAAGGTTTTTGCTTCTAGTTATACTTATTATTAACTCATGAATCACTTATAGTCGATTAGTCCACTGGAGGGCACCCTCATTGGTGCTTAGCAAGATTTTCTCTTTTACATTTTCTGTTTCTAGTCACACTTACTGGATCATTAATTGCTTAAGGCCTACATCTGCACTGCCATATGGGGTGGAGCATCATTTGATCCAAATGATCTCAGGATCAGCTCACTGTCACAAGCGATGGCGGGGACTCAAGCGCAGAGCAGAGTTCAGTTTTATTTACACAATCATCAGGTGCAAAATATATACAGTGGGGGAAATTCGGAGTTACTAGGGTCCAGGGGGAAAATCCGAGAAGGGGAAGCTCTCTCACACATGCTCTCTTCTTCACACATGTCCACACAGCGGGTAGGTTACGGGTCCAGGAAAACTACTCACAAGAGAGATCGGTTACGCAGAATCACAGATTTACACACGGAAACTTCACTGAGGCTAGAGGCTCACTAATGTGTCTCACACAATCATCCAGCGTTGAGACTGCGTCTCGGCCTTAAATGGCAGCCACATAATGGCAGCCTGACGGGCAACAGGTGTGAGGGCCAAGGGCGGGAGCCCGCAGTGAGCTCCGCCCAGGCGGAGCGGCAAGAGAAAGGGAGAGTAAACAAAAACACATGTAGCCTTGCGGGGCCGGCTGCACAGGCACGGGGACCATGACACTCACTCCACTTTAGTTACAGTTATTCTCTTCCTTTCTGTCATTTTCAAAAATGTTTTCCTTTTTCTAATTACTTTCAAATCTCTCTGCTAGCACCTTTTTCTTTTCTTCTTTCCTTATTTAAAGGATTACCTTCACATAATACTCTAATCAACTCACACACCTATATAAATAATATACAGCAATTTTACTCTTATTGTACACTTCATTGAAAACTGTTGTGGTCTCTATGAGCCCCTTCATGATGCATGTTTACACATTTTTTTATAAACCATATATTTACTGGAAGTCATGTGCTAGTTTGATTTGATTCTATTCTGACCGTTGTTTCATTGTCAGAAACACTAAATTGATATGTCAGCAGTCGCTGCAGGAAGTCAAGCAGCAACTTGTCAATGGCACAGAAGACCTGCTCAGCTCCTTAAAGCTGAAAGTATGTGTGATAGTCAGAAAATGAAGCCTATTATCAAGTAGGCTGTGCGACTCGCTGTTTAATGGTCTCAATAGCTGTACTTCACCTTCACAGTTTGATAGTTTTTGCTTGCATCTGCATCTTTCTTAGAAAATAATGAGCAAAAATGTTGTTCCATGTTATCAGTTTATTTATTGATTCACAAAGGAGCTATACCTATATATTCTTCTTGTTGTCACACATCCGCAGGTACAGCTGGAAGACCACAGAATGGACAGAGTGCAAGGTGGACATGCTACTGAGCCAGCAGGACCGCCGACGTGGAAACCATACAGGAATGTGTGGAGGTGGTACTCAGACTCGGGAGGTGTACTGTGTGCAAGCCAGCACTGACACACCATCAAACCTTAGTCCTCTCAGGAGCAAAGAAGGTAATTTTTCTGTTTTATTAAACAAAAACACTCCTGAGAAGGTAAATGTTGTCATTGCATTGGTCTTTTTCAAAATTAACCTCCATCCGGTTTCATTGTCTGATTAAGGCTTGTTTCATTATATCTTAAAACCACTATCATCCTTACAAGAACTGATTTCAAAGGTAAGACAAGCAAACAGCAAAGGAACAGAATGAATGGAAAATATCTGTCTGAATGACAACACTGTGTATTACTTGAAGTGTTGCTTAGATTGAGAAAGCGTTTTGTGTTGTAATTCTCATACTAATTTTTTTATATATGCATGCTATTTCAACAGAGGTGGCATGCATAGTACAGACATTGTATAGTGCAGATACTTGTGTTAAGAAATACTCCAGTAAATTTTGAAGTACTGAGTCAACTTCTTTACTCAAGTAAAAGTGAATACCATAGGCATAAAGCAAGAAAGTAAAAAGTAGCTCAGTGAAGACAATTCTATCATCTATTTTTGTGCACAGGTAACTGGACCTTCTGCAAATATAATATTAGTGCATACTAGTTTTATTCAAACCTAAATTCTAATGGATGTACTTGAATCTGTTACCTAGGACACAAGCAGTAAAAGAGAATTTTTAAAAAAAAATACTATTTTCTGTTGCCTACATGGTAGAGGGGGACACACACCTGAACAGAACAATGAGGGGTTAAAGTGAGAGTCTGCAAGTGAGGGAACACAAAGATCTGTTGTAGTGGCTCAGCATGGGGAAAATATCAACAACTCACAATCATTTCTAACATGAACTCCGACAGATTTTCTTAGTGGACAAGCTGTGATCAACTGACCTGCTGCTCTTTGTGGATTTACACATCTGAACTCAACAAGATGGAATTAGATGCTTCTAAGCTTCTAATCTTGGCTGAGTTTCATTTCATACACTAATAGTATACTGTATATGTTCTTTATAATAAACAGTATAAAGGTAGGATAATGATTGAATTCACTGAATGAATCTAAGCATCATCATCTTAAATGTAAATTAATCTCTGCTACACTTGATGTAACCCAACAGTAGCCATAAGCACCACAGCCACAGTGTATCAGTGCACAACACAGTGCTTTACAGTAAAAAATCACCACATGTAAGCTAACCTGTTTATCCTGCACAAAACTACCTAGAATGTAATACAACATTTGAATAACACAAAATTAGTATACTTACTTTTTGCAGGATGCTTCACATGACATTACATATAATTTTTAAATCTGCAGTGTTAGTAAGCAGCCCTTACATTTAAATGTAACCTCTCTTCTTCCTGTCCTGTTTTGCCTTTTCTTAGATCTTTCACTATTTCTGAGTGAAGTTAGCTTTCCTTTGTTTTTCTCCCTGGAACTAAGTCAGGAACTTTAGCTAGTTTGTTTGTTTGCTGATGTTTGTTGAGCTAATTAGAAATGTTGTAGAAAGGTTATTTAATGTAAAAACAATATTCCCTTTATGCTTATCCCTCTTAACCCTCTGGTTTGTTCAAAATCACTTTCAGCTTGTTCGTGGCCAAAAGTGGCCAACAGATTAGGTCTGTAATTTTTTATTATTTTTATGTTTTGTTTTGTTTTTGCCATGTTTTTTCTGCATAAAGCTTTTAAGTAACTTCAGTTCTTTTCATAAATATATGATAATTATTACTTTTTAAATTTATAACCCTTTAAACACCAGTTTGTTTGTCCACTGCACTAGCTGGAAGACAACCTCAAATCTCGCAATTGTATATAATTGCATTGCTACTGAAATTTCTTGTATTATTTTGTTGACTTGGTTTTTAAGATTAGCATCAGTGCTGTTCATCAAGACCAAAATTTCAATCAAATCCATAATTTTAACCCTTTAAATACCAGTTAAATCACATAATTTTAATGATTTACATAGGGATAAAAGCATAAAATCCCCATTTTTTTCTAAATAATACATGCAAACTGATTTATTTTCTAACCATGGTGGAGGTTAGATGCATAGCAATAATTAAAAGTATCAATGAGTTTTATGCATTTTTGGGTTTTTTTGCAGTGACAGAAAAACAAGAAAAATCCCTCTCAGCTTGTTCGTGGCCACCCCCTGTTTATGTTTACCAAATACTATAAAATTAATATATATTAAAACATTTTTCTACTTTCCTTGACTTGATTTTTTAAATTAGCACCACTCCTAGTCATGAAAACCAAACTATAATTCATATTCATATATTATACCCTTTGAATACCAGTCAGATTATGTATTATTACTACGCTTTTGCACCTTTTGCACCTTCTTCTCATTTTGATGGTGGGGTGTGGGTCACACTCTGGTTCAGACTACTGTATCTTGAGATCATTGGCAGAAGTGGCTGGGAATTAGGGACAAGGGTGTCTTGCAGTTGTTGAGGTCACAAGCATGTGTCCCAGCTCTCCCAGGATCACTCTTCATTTGTAGGTTGTAGAGCACTCCCCCACTTCAGTGAAGTTGTTTCCGGTGGGACAAAGACATCGTATCCCAAGACATCCAGGAGATTGGAGGAAAGAGCCATCAGCCATCAGTTAGTTTTCCTTCTACAACTCGAGGTGCCAACATCCTCTCTAAGTTTAAGATAATAGTTTAAGATAAGTTATCCAAGCTGTATTTGTGCCTATTGTGGTCCAGGATTGCTTCTTGCTTCCAGGCTTCCTCTATTACCCATCACTAACTGCTGGTTCCCTGTGTGTTGTGGTCAAAAGGAGCGCATTCCTCTGTTGCTTTGGCATGTGGGATATCGCCGTGGTAGTTTTGGTGAAGCCAAATACAGACAACAAAATCTTTCACTGTTGCAACTGGAGGAGCTGGGGAGGAAGCTCTGGGTTGTTTCCCCGGTGCCAGTTTTCATCTGAGGCAAGGCTGGACTGGGACAAAAAATCGCCCCATCATAGCTGGACTGGCCATCGGGCATACCGGGCATTTGCCCGGTGGGCCGCTGGCGATTTTTTGTTTTTATGGGCCGATGGATTTTTTTTTTTTTTAGGAAGGGTATATATAATGAAAGGTGTTGGATTGGCCAATTGGTCATGATCGACTCTGGGCTGGACCAATTACAGCCGAGGAGGCCGGATGCACCCTCCCCCTTGTTTAGCAATCACGTGATTTTCGCGCATTGCATGCCGGGAACTCGTGGCAAAACAATCCAAGTACCGCATCAAATGCAAGCATTTGCAGCACCGCAAAACGTTCATTCTCCGGTTCCAATACCTTCTTGTTTTTTCTTTGCCGCACAAAAAAGGAATGTACAAAACAAAAGGAGAACAATGCCGGTCCGTACAAAGACAGACTCGACGAAAAGACAAAGAAAAGATACGAGGAAAAAATCAAAGGAGTGAAAGGGTCAGACCCTTACGAGCACACAGAGTGGACAAAAGACGTTAGCGTGCTGCCCAACTTTCACCACGCTCAGATTTATAATTATACGGTTCTTGGAGTGAGTGCATACACTCATGAAGTTTAGTAACTTCAGGTCACTGCAACAAGCCCAGGTACAGTTTACCGACGGATGGGTACAGGACCTTGAAATGCACCGTGTAGAACGAAAGACCATCGTACGAACAAAGGTAAGTTTACCAGTCTCACAAATATTTTTGTCAATGTACCATGGTAATAACAGAAGCGAAACGCAATATTGTGTCAGGACAATTCACTATTTATGCACAATAAACAAAGGAGCATAGCGCGACAATTTCTGTTCAGCGCCAGACTTGCTTGTAACCTATATCACCAATTATGTTAAGAAAAATGACGATTAACTACTACAAAACTCTGACCTTTGTGGGAATGCTTGGAGCAGACTAACCATGTGAGCTGGAGTGTTCTGAGACGTTATATTTGGTATATCCAGACCATCCGTCGGCTCTTACTTCGGAAACATGGCTTAAAAAATTTCTCTTCAACGACGTAATCCGATAAAAAAAACGATCTCTTTACCCGTCGGCTTCCCGTGGCTGTCATGCGACCGGCTATTGCAGTTAATAATACAACAGCTTCTTGCCATTTTTTGGGTTTCTTTTTATCGCTGTGTAACTGAGTTCAATTGAAAGCCTGCGTGCGCTAGTACCTCTTGCCACAAGTTCCCAGAATCCTTTGCGGTTTTACCCCTGAATGACGTCACATTTTCAATCTTTATCCTGGTGGGCCGGTCTCTAGTCAAAATGCCCGGGC